TTAGCATCATCATCATCATCATCTTCTTGGTCCTCTCCGGCATCCACATCCTCTTCCTCTTCGTCCTCTTTTTCTTCTTTCCCATCCACAACAATTTTATTCTTATTTTTATGATCCTTTGCGTCGACGCTGTTCCTCGCGTAACCTTCCCTTGACGCAGTTTGGTCACTCTTAACATCCACCTCATCCTCATGATCCCCTACCGAGAGTGTCGCGGAATCCACTTCTTTTCGTCCTCTCCCAAACCTACGAACCGAGGGCGCCGCCGCGTCTGCTGAAGCACCTGCGGAGTGAGCATCGCTCACTTTCTTCTTCCCCCCTTCTCCTTCCGTCGCATCTTCTTCATGCAATTCGTCTAGGACGATTTCGTCATCCTCATCTTCATCACTGGCCCGCACGGAGGCCTTACACGAGCGAATATTTGTCTGCTTTTTTTGTTGCTGCCTCGTATTTTCCCTTTCCCCGTTTTCATTCTCCTCACTTGTATCGTGTTGGAGCAGACGACGATACTTGCTGACCATAACGCCTGTGCCGCCCCTCCCTATTCTATCACTCTTCTTCTTTTTGGGTTTTCCGCAAGCATGTATACAAATATGCGTGCAGATGCCATGAGCGACGGTAAAATCAAACAAAAAACAAAGAGAAAGCCACACATGGTGGGTGGCATTAAAGGCAGACCATCCTTCCACACACACACGGCAAGGTCCAGCAGCAAGCGGTATCACAGTGCAGACAAAACAAAAACAAGAAAAAAAAAATAATAATAAAACACGTGTACAAAAGAGAAGGGCTGGTGGTGGTGACAGCCACTGTGTCCAAAACTTCCACAAGATTCAAAAGGGCTAAAACAAAAATAACGGGAATAATTTTCTATTCGAAGGTGCCAAATAGAGAGAGAGAGACAAGCCCTTATTACATGCCCATCCCTCCCACCCATGCACCTTCTCTCTAATGCTCGTTGTTTCATTATTCCCTCTGTTTTTTCCTCCTCTTGGCGATATTTCCCTCACACACCAATAGCTGAGAAAACAACAATTCACACTGGCCCGCTATTCGCAGCAGCTCCACCGTTATTTGGAGGTGAAGTGCAGAAAAACCACCAAACAACAGTTCGTTTCCTCTTCTTTTCGCTGCTTAGTTACTCTCCACCCACCCACGCCCACACCAGTTATTCCTCCCCTCCCTCTCTTCCTCCCACGTTGTTCTTCTTGTCATTGCAGCTCAGTACAGGCGGCGCAGCTCCACAGCAGCCATCCAAACACACGTGACCAACAGCCTCAACCGAAGGCCTGCCCACAGCCCGCTGTAGCCCTCTTCCGCCACAATCGTGCGGGCGCAGTCCACCATGCCCTTGTACCCCTTCCTCTCCGATGAAGCGGTGAGCTGCATGCGGCGACTGATAACTTCAAATGGCTGAGTGATGCATCTGGCTACAATTGCCAAAGAACACGCGACAGCGTGCGGGTATTGATTGTGCAAAACCGGTGGAAGTATTTGTAACGCGTAGTAGTATGTACCTCTGTACATAAACACCGCCATCGCATCCAGTCCAAAACCGCGGTAAAACCCACGAAAACCGTATCGTCTGCGGATGTCTGCTGCCGTTTCCCACGCGGAATTGTACTTGTACGACTCTTCCTTTTCTTCCTCCCCAAAATCTCCCTCCTTCACATATTCCTTCACATCCCCTGCTGCGGGGTGGGGTGCAACGATGTCACCAACGTAGTTTGTCACAATGGTGTTTTGGATCCCCGTCACCGGTGTGGCAATCAGAACAGAGATGGATGTGGAAACAAGCGACAAAGTGACCCACACCAACGGCGACATCTGTTGCACTCTATCGAAAGGCAACACCACTCCCAACAGCTCTGATACCAGCGACGAGCTCACTTCTTCCATGACCGCAGACGGTACAGCAAGAACGGCGTCTATCAGAAACCCACGAAAGAAGGACCTGAGACCCTCCTTTGCATAGACACGCCGCACGCAGCCAATGATGCCGCCAAACCCTGTTGACGGCAGCCGACCCTCATGGACTAACTCAGCCTCCACGACCGTCAAGACGGCGATGCGGTGCGACGGCGCCATGACAACACGCTGCAAGAAGACGCCAACCAGGGAAGCGGCCATATCGACCATCACTTCTCCTGATGATGGCGCATAACCGTAGGGCTGGCTCTCTGCCATTGACGTCTCTGTCTCGCTCTCAATCCGTTAGCTTCTGTGAGCTGAAAAGCAACAAGGACGAGAGTAGGGAATACCAAAGGCCCAAACAAACAAACAAAAAAACCACACCAAGAAGCAACAAAGGAAATAAAACTCTCCAATGAGCAACAAAATGGCACGCGTACACACACACAGACACACGCACGCGCACGGGGCAGTTATGATTGAATACAAATGTTTACTTTATATAGTTTTCCTCTTGAAGTCCACCTCGGTTTTTTTTTTTTTGAATTTCTCGGGCTTCTCTGCGCTTCCTTATTTGTCACCCTCCTTTCCTTCGTATTGGTGGTGGTGATTATTATGAGGAGGGGAATGTACCTTAAAAAACAACAACAAAAAAGAACAACTGAAAATCTGGACGCCAAAGACAAAAGAAGTTAAAAAAGAAATAATAAAAACTCATCCAACAAGGATGACCAATAAATTGTGTAGTCTTCGTAGACTATTATTAACTAATAACGGATGACATGGCCGTATTTTCTTCGTTGCTCCGTTCATCCATCCACAGAAACGAAAAAAACAAAACAAAACACGAATTCATGAATCACCCTCCCTCTCTTTCCCTTTTTGCTTGATATATATGGCTTTACCCCCCTGCTTCTCAATGCACCATAAGCGTACTAAGCAGAATACCGCCTACATCTAGAAGAAATCGCATGCGAAGCCCAGCCCAGAACGCTGTAATTCCGTCCTGACGCAGAATATCCTTTGCGTGGTGCCAGAACCGGCGGTTTCTTTTCTGTTTCTGCCTCACACTCGTGGAGAGAAGTGTCATGCGTGCGCGTATGACCTGAAACGGCTGAAATAAAAAGCTGCAGATAAGGCGCACACCAATAGTACAGGCGATCATCGCAGCAGCCTTCCTCCCTGGCCGCTGAAACTGCTCTTCTATAATTTCTTCGACCTTGGGCGCAATCGCCATTCCCATAAGCTGCATCGTGAGGCTCTGTGTGTAGATGGCAATGATGTCTACGTCTACACCCTTGAAAAAAAGTCCTTTCCAACCCCAACGCTTCTGTACTGCCGCTGCGGCCTCCCACGCAGAGCAATACAAATACGCTTCTTCCTCCTCATCATCCGTTGTCACCACGTCACCTTTGCATGCGACAATGTCCGCGGCAAAGTTACCCATGACGGTTTTTTTTGAACCCACAATAGGTGCTGTCAGCAGTACGCGTAGTCCTGGTGCCGCCACCCCAAGCATGACTGAAGCGGGCCGAGAGATCACCACCAACTGCTGTTGTAACCGCACAGTAAAGAGGATTACCGTAACCTGGGCGATGTAAGCCGGAATCGATAACGCCATTTCTGTGAAGCATCCACGGAACAGTCCCACGGCCCCTTCCTTCTTCATGATGTAATGGACACAGCCCCGCATGCCCCCAAACCCACCATGTGAAAGCCGCCCATTTTGGATAAGTTCCCCCTCTGTGCACTGCAGCAAAAAGATCCGATTGACAGGCGCCCACAGGCAGTTCAGAGCGATAAGACGGGCTACACGAATTGCAATACGTCCCAAAACGTTGACCAACTCGGCTCCAGAACTCCTTTGCCCCTGATCCTGCAGGTAGAACTCCGGGTCATCTGGGCGATACGCTGGCTGGTGCTCCACAACTGTCGCCTCACTTGACATCTATCATGAACCTCCTCTTATGATCACGCCAGTAACATCCACCCACACACACGCACACAAAAGAAATACAAGGGCAAGCCACGCAAAAGAAAAAAAAAAAGTAAAAGAAAAAAAAAAGAAAAATGGAAATCCCCACACCCACACATACATTCAAAAAAGTAAAAAATACTTCCCTCACTATTTCTTTCACGACGCATCGCGGTTTATAAACGCATGTATACGTCGTTTCATGTAACGTGTATGCATGAATATCCGCACGTATGAATAAGGGTAGTTTATAGATTCGTATGTATCGCTGCAGTTTAATCCCCCTCTTCGTCACCCAACAGTTCCCGTAGCACACGAACAGCACGGTCTTCCCCGGAATCCACAGAATTGCCTTGTGGATTTAGCGCAGTCTTGAGATCCAAATGCCCTGCAATAGCGCTTCTCTCTTCCATCGAAAGATTTCGATGTGCTCGCGTGACGTGTTGCATGACGGCTTCATACAAATGATAGTTGCTGGGCGACTCCCGTGCAACGGCATGAATGATGCGCGGTCTTTCACTCACAAGAGCAACTCGTAGCGCCTCCTGCCAACTCTCATGCCAACGATCGCGGAGAAGGGCGGTAATTGTTTTTTCCTCCTTCTCTATAGAGAGAGGAAGGGTCGTCCCTGGGGTACAATCGTCATTGGGGGGAGAGAAACTTTCTGGGGTCACAGTCACTTTCTGGCGGGCAGATGCATGGACCGCCAACTTTAACATTACACACGCTGCGTCTGCCACCGTTGTGTTGCCTACCACACCGCAACGCAGAAAATGTCCGCACATCTGCGCCGTTGGCTCCACAGCATCACCTACATATGCACGCCACATCGCCCACAAATCTATGGCTAATTCTGGGTGACCACCGGTACGAAGAGCAAAACACGCCTGAGAAAAGGTGTAACCATCCATCCCGTAAGGACCAAGAAGTTCAAATACTTGCAGCGCCTCACACCAGCGTCTTGCATCGGCTAGAAGTGTCATGATACGCCCGCACTCCTGAATTCCTATGGTGGCACGCAAACGGGAAGAGTCTCCCAATTTATTTTGCTCCCGATTTTTTTTTGGTGACACTTGTTCCCACGAGTGCCTGGAGTTGACAAAAATGCTCATCGTGCCTTGCCAGGTGGCTCCTTTTGGGGCCTTTTCACACGCCAGTAATGCCTTGCGCGCAACGTGCAACGGGTCGCTAATTACGTGCGGAATTGCCCGCAGGGCCTTCACCCAATCACAGTTATCAATACAACGATTTAATTCTCTGATGGTACGCACATGATTTCTGTCACCAATCCGTGTTCTTTTCTCCTGCTCCTTAGTCTCACCTTTCTCATGCGATGCGGCAATGGATGCACAAAATTCACGCAATCGCCACTTCTCCCTTGCTGCCTGCTGCGCTACAGTGCCCAAAGAAAAAAAAAGACACGGTTCTTCTGCTACAAGGCGGTCCACAAATGCAGCAACGCGTGCAGGATCTGTTTTGCTTCGGGGAAGCCGCCCCAATACAGTTGTATATAAGAAACCGTCGAAGCGTTGCGCAAATGTCAGAAGCAGAAACAACCGTAATGCCTCACGCTCCGCCTCTGGTAAAAGATACGCAATTTCAGCAGAGAAAAAATAGTCCTTATGACTCATGGCCTTTGGAAAAGCCAATACTGACGATGTTGATGACGCATTTGAGCCTTCATTGGGAGCGGCGGGCTTCAGCAACATGGCTTCCAGAGCAGGAAAGCAGTCCTCTTTCCACAAGGCAAGAATGTAGTTCTCTGCAAAAGCGGCAACCATATTTCTGGCATTATCATAGGCGGTGTTGGAGAGCTCCAAAAGAATATCTGCATCTCCAGCAAGTCTCGCTCGGGTTGTGGCCACAGCATGGTGCGCATAATAAAAGATCAATGTGTCTACCAATAGCCGTGATGCTGAGGAAGGCCGCGGTGCGTGAAAACCACGTTGAATATCCCAAAATGTGTTTTTCATTAGTTCACTAAAAGAGTTAATAAGAGAAGCCCGACGCATGGCTCGAGAAAGTGGACAAAGTAGCTGTGGTGTCCGAAGCGAGAGATCGTCGCGGCAGGCTTCCTCATACCATTCAAAAACTTTACCCACCCGTTCTCGCTCTCTGGTGCCAGGCACCTCATCTTTACCATTTCCGTTCAAGAGATCATTTATAAGGTTTTCCAGTGATATAAAACTTTTCTTCGCATCATGTGGAAAACATGGCAATAGCGCCTGCAATCCTCTCATGAAAGCCCAGCCCTGAAATGCAGGCATCCAGCGGGACACCTCATCCACCAAACGCCACCGTAACTCCATTAGTGTGGTGGAGGTCCTTAGAGTGTCATTTGACCCATTGATGAGCAGTGCGATGAGGGTCTTATCACAAGAAGTACCTTCCCTGGGCGACTCTGCCAAAGATGGCAAAAAAGGAGCGGCGGGAAGAAACAGGGTTTCTATGAGATCCCTTGCAATGTCGTGACGGTGAAACACCCTACAGTGGTTTAGCGTCTCAACGCAAACCTCCAAAAGGTTCCTCCATGTGCTTTGACTCCCATTACGACTGGTCTCTCGGGCAAAATTCCAAAGGCCTTTCAAAAGCCATTCCCAACGAACAACGCGCTGTACAAGCAAACGACTAACACCGTGCGAGATTTGTGAGGCCTCATCGGTGCTGTGCAAATCCTTGATAATTGCGTTATCGAGAGACGCCCAGCCCAGTGGGTTTTCGCTTCTGTTGCGGTGCTCTTTTTCGTGAAGAGTGCGCAATATCATGCACACCGACTGTTCCCACTCCGTTATAACACCAGGGAAGACTGCACTTTGTGGCGTCACCCACAAACTACATTCACGCGTGGTATCCACCATCGCCAACAGCTCCGGAAGCCACCAACGCAAATGAAGCTGCAGCCGCAACTCCTGCGATATGGTTGCTGGAGCGCTACCGTCCGTGTCCCTGATGATTGCACCCGTCAGAAGAACCACAAAACGACGCCATGCTTTAAGCTCGGCAGCAGGTACCTCCGTTATCAAGTTGGAAAGCAACTCCAGATAAAAATTTTTGTTCCTACAAACAATACTTTTACAGGTGCCGACTCCAATGTGTGGCCCAGTTTCACTCTGCCGTGCATCCCTGCTAAAAAAAGGACTAAGCGCCCGTGAAACATACCCAAGAAAAGGCGTGCGCTGCGCCCCACTCAATGAGGACTCATTCACAACAGAAATAAACGCCTTCCCAAATCTGTAGCTTAACAAATCACACAAATCACGTTTAATAGGGGTTTCTAGTAGATGTGTCATGAGAGACGTACGGGACGCATTCATATCGTGCAAAACAACTGAATGAAGAAACGACTTTTCAAGATTATTTTGTATAAGCCGTCGCAAAAACACATTTCCTACCGTCGTGTGTGTAGCGGAAGCATTATTATTAGTGGTAGTATTACTAGTAGACGCATTATCAGTAAAAGGAAAATATGCATTTCCGACCTCTGACGACAGAGGTTCAGGCTTGGCAATGAAAAAACTCCTGTACACCTCTAACCCCAACAGCAAAGGGGTGGAATTTTCGGAAGACCAAACCACCGGCAGTAAAAATATACGAGTAATCAAAAAAGACACATCATCTGAGAAGAAGGCAGTTGTATTGTAATCAAATGTTTTCATGGAAAGTACTTCTGCCACGCGAGAGAGGGTGCCAACCGAAGGATCGTCACTCTCCAAGAAGGATGAGGAAATAAGCCTATGCAACACCTCGCTCCCATCTCTAAGCAGTGTTATTGACAAAAGAGCATGTAGGGCAAGCTGTAGCCTTTCCGCGTTCAACTGCGTGTCACCTTTCCTCGCCGTCTGAAGTGACAGGCGCAGCAGGTCTACAAGGGCTTTTTCTACCTTTTGTTCCAGTTTAACATGCTTTTCCTGCAAATTCCTCTCTTCGTCGAGAGAAAGCGCCGCCAAAACAGTCGTCCATAGCGCAATCAGTTCCAAGACAGGCCCTTCAGCGACCGTCTTACTTTCCAGTGGTATTGTTGCCATTGCCACAAGGTCAAGGGCCTCCTGAGCCTTGCGGTCCACAAGAAGGGTGTAAACAGCAAGCTTCATCATCGTCATCGGTGAGGGGGCAAAGTCGAAGTTTGTGGAGGCAATACGCCAGAGAGTAAATGCACTTTCTCCATGACCATGGTAGAGTAATGCGGCAATGAGTGATTCGCAACTTGAAGTGAGGGGCCTTGCTTCGGCACCTTCTTTCTGAGATGAAGAAGAAAGAGATGAAATAAAACGTATGGCTTCTTGCCAATGGTTTAAACGAAGTATTTCGTGTACCTGAATAGGCAAATCGTAAAACAATTTCTGTGCGATGGGCAATGACGATAGAGTTGAATTTGCCTCCTTGGACATGGAAGGAGATAATGCGCCCCGAGAAGCTCCTTTGGCTGAAGTTTCGTTTCTACTCCCATACCGGCGGCCACCACAATTCAATCCTCCAACTCCTAATATTCTTTGGGCATTTGGACGAGAAACAGACCCAGGACACATGCGACATAAGACAAGAAAAGTCATCATACATCGCACAATGTCCTTGTCTCTGGACGCATGCAAAATCAAAGAAAAAAAAATGTCCAAAAGTGACATAATGACGTTCATTTCTTGAATTAATCACAACAATACACACACACACACACACACACACACACACACACACACACACACACACACACACACACACACACACACACACACACACACACACAGGCATTCCAGTACATCAAGAACAAGATGGAATAACCCCATGAGATTTTCCATCATCACTCAAATAACAAGTAGACAACCATAACTACATGTGAAAATAATTTTCAAATATGCATCTTGGGTAAGCGTACACCAATGAGACGCTCGGAAAAAAAAATCTACATCAATGGAAAAAATTTAAAAAGTGCTCAAGCCAAAAAATACACAAAAAAGATTAAACTGAAACAAAACAGTAAGATTCAAGCAAGCGGTAAAAATTTCCCAGTAAAGAGAAAGGAAGTATGTGGAAATTCAAAAGTACAGCAGTCTCAGAGAACTTGGCCATGATGGATTCAACGATGCAACACGTTTCTCCTCCTTGGTTGACGACTAAAATCTGCCCTCAAATTTGATCCTTGTTCTCTTTACTCCGTGGTGAAATTCACTTGCCATGTTAAACCCACACACACACACACCAAACGGTCCTCATTTCAGCCTTACAGGCTCTGGCGCTTTTATTAAGGAGAGTGCCGCTTCCTTGCCGATACTCGGTGTCAAGTTCACCCTTCTGTAAGTGTCAAAGGAGGGCAATCCGGCCGTTGTTACATCTAAGTTTTGCCCACGAAATGGTTCCGCCGTGATTTTTCCCGTGGACCACGGCGCATGTGTGGGCATGGACCACTTTGTTCGTGTGTGCCAAGTGCGGAAAGGTCTTGCGTGCCTCTTGACTCCAGTTTCAATTCGTGGATCGGGAATCCACTCTATATCATTAATGATACCACTTGGTTTACCAGCATAGAACGCACCATACTTTCGCTTTTTGCTTTTTTCGGGCTCTCCTTCTGGCATCCAGGGCGGAATACCCTCCGGTCTGTAATTCAATGGTCCTGCCTTTAAGTGATGAATGCGCCCTCGGTCAATTTTGTCGTCATACGGATCTGCTATCCACTCTGGCGCCTGGCCAAAGCCATCGACACGTCCGGCCCTTATTCCGCCCTCACCACCTCTGGGATCGCGTGCAGCAGCCCTACCATCGAGCGGATCAGGCATATACGGGTAGTTACTGAATAACCCACGATTCAATGGATTCTTCTTGGTGTGTATCACAGTTTTTCCCGGGTGCTTGTTGTGTTTTATGGGGTTTCCGGCCTCCACATCCAACGGGATGTCTCCAAGACCGCCGACTTGTGTACCACGTCCCTTTGCGAAATCCATTCTGTCCCCATTTGGACGATCATTAAGACGGTTGGGAGGAATAGGAGCCTGAAAACCACCACCTCCCATGTATTCATATTGAAATTGTCCCCCAGCACGAAGGTCATGAAATGGACAGCTTTCGCGCTCCAAGTGATCCTTTTCACAGTCGTAAAGGTGGTGCCAATTGGTCCAATGACGGCGTCCATCCCAATTTTTGGGCCGAAGATTGTGAATCGTCTCAAAGCGTCCCTCAGTCATTGCTTAAAAAAATGATGTGAAGCGTTTCTTTCCTTCTTTTTTTTCCTCTACTTCTTGTTTCTTCACAAAGGAGAACAAGCCAAAGAGACCACAAAGAAACGACCCGATGTCAATCTATGAGAAAAATATGCCGTGAACTCCACCCATTTTGCATAGTTTCCAAATACTTTTTTTTTCTTTATTTGCTCATTATCACAAAATATAAAAAAATACAAAACAAATAAGAACATAAACTCCATTACACTTCTCGGACTTATCGTTTACACAGTCTCGTTAAATTACGTAGACAGGCAGAGAATTACAAATCGCCAGTCTGATAAACATTTACAAGCAGCACTCCAAAGCAAGTAAATACTACATACAAAAACCACAGACTTCATAAAGAGGGCAAATGCAAAAATGACAACAACAACAACAACAACAAAAAAAACGACAATAAAACACATACGCATGCAATAAGCAAATAATATTCATCCGGGAGAAAAAAAAGTTTCATGGAAATGCAAAGCTTCCACTCCTCTAGAAGATTTCCGCCTCAACATCTCATTTGAACCCCTTGTTTTCTTGTAAGAAGTGGCCATCTATTGGCTGACTGTCCGCAAAGGATGGAAAGGAAGGTTGGTCACCGCCATTTACCCTCAAAGTTCCAAGGGATTGCTGATCCGCAGGAGCTGCCAAAGGTTGATAATCTTCAATCGTAACACCAAACCTATTTTCATATGCAAACTCCTCAAACTGATAAATATAACTTTCAAAGACCTCACTAACAACACCATCATGCAAACCAAAGTACGGCATTTTTGCATCATGCAAAGGACGAAAAACTTCTATATACTCTGTTTGACCGTTGATCATCTGCATACGGCGGTATCTATCTACATCAATTCCAAAATAGTCCAAAGTCTTCGTCGCTAACCGTGTTGTGTGCCGCTTCACATCCCGATTAGACCAGTGCACCATACGATTCTTATCAAAATCAGCGAGATAGTCAATGGCATATTCAGCTCCAGACCCAAAAGTACCTAATACTTTGTCTCCCAATGTTACTAATTGAGAATCACTCGGCGACTTTCCCGTGTAGAGACTATTATGAATTGCCAGTGATGAACACAATGATGGAATACACTGTGATAAAGCACGATGTACCCAAATCAATCTCATATCAGGGAAGGCTTCATGAAGTGACTCAATGCTTAATATAGCAAAAGGACAAAAAAGAAGCCATTGTGCTTTTAATAAGGGGGATTTAGAACCATACTTTTGTTCCTCTATTGGGTTATTAATGGGATTGATATCCCGCAAAACACACTCCGAAAAGTGGCCACAGCGTCTATACCACTGAAACAACTGGCACATTCGCCTAAGATGTTGATACACTGGCGTTTGGTCCTCTTGTAAACACTCCAAAAGATATTCATCTAGTCCGTGTAAAAATCCCCATGCATATGACTCGGGACACATGAGTTGCAACGTAAGATCGTCGTCTATTTGATTGGGATTAACGGTTCTTACACATGAAAAATCAGGATAAATAAAGGAAAACCATTTAAACCGCCGATAAAATGCATCACATCGCTCGACATCTAGAAGAAGCGATGGTGCAAAGGTATCGCTCTGCTTAAAAGCCAAAAAAAGCCCTGAACGAGACAAAACATGCGCTGCCTGGTGTCCATTACACCGCGGTAAACCCATCACAACTAGAGGTTCAATAATGTCTTCTTTTTCAATTTCGTGTCCATTTAAACGAAAAACCTCATCTACCGCCAATCGTTCCGATAATGCTCGGACAAGTCTCTGACGCAGCATTGCTCTTCCATAATATGAGGTTGAGGGTTTGTCCGCGCAAGCCCTACAGAGCCTTTCCCACCACTTGTACCCGGCAATTTCCTTCGAGGAAGAAGGAATAGAAATATTAATTCTTTTGCACGCATCTGTCAGAACAGCATCCAAAGAAAAAGACTCGCTCGATGGACTGTTTGCGAAACAGTTGAAAAGTTTGCTAACCACAGGTTTACGCCCTGAGAGTTTCCTCACACCAGACATGCTCTTTCTAAATAGCATCTTTAAAGTAAAATTATCTTTTAAGAACTATTCACAGCGAAGACAATAACAAAAAAGAATCTTTCATGTGCAGAAAAATATTCCCAGTTACAAGGTTAACAACAAAAACAACAGCACGGAAACACCAAAAAAAAAAAAAAAAAAAAAAAAAAAAAGGCAAATACAACTATGTAAATATATGTGGATAGAACGATTTAACACAATGTATTACTTTTTACGTTCCATTAGATTTGAAGATTCTATTTGAAAATCGCCTTCCCACCTCTTTTTTGTTTTTCTTTCTTCTTTTTATTACCTTTGCTAATAAATCACATTGTTGTGTTTGTGCCTCCCCTTTTTCTTTTCTTTAAAATTCCGTTTCAAACAGAGCATTTTTAAATAACCGTCGTTCCCTTTCCAAGAAAGCATACGGATAATTTGGGTTCTTAAGAAAAGGCACCTTTATTCCTGCATATGCAATACTGAATCCTCGCAATTAACTTAATTATGAGAAAATTGCTCCGCCATGAATTGTTGGTGTCATGGCTTTGTAGTAGTGTCGCTGAACCGAAAATATAGTTGCAGTTAGCAAAGCAGCTCCAAGAACAAGTACAAGCAATGTAGGACCACGAGTATCGTCGTATCGCATTGGTTCTCGCATATATATCTTATTGGCACGATCCCTGAAAATAAACAAAGAGTATGCCATAAAGATAATAGATACAGGTAATAAAACCAAACCAGCTAATTCTGGGGCAGTACTCGACGTGTCACCAAAGTTCAACAGTGTCAAAGACATCAGGCCAATCATAACAGAAATAGATAGCCACTTGAGAAACGTTCGCTCGTTTGCAAAAAATGTTTTAGGATCAATCTTTTGAGGGACACAGATACGTTTGTCGTTAACAGATCCTGTTAAATTCCGAACACCTGGACCCTGCAGGTTCATATACTTCTCGTCGCCATCCGCTTCACCCTCTGCCCATGGCTTTGTCGAGTTTGTGGCGCAGCAAATTATTGATAATCCTTTTTCGAAGAAATTGGACATAATAACTACATGTAATCAAAACAAAACAAAACAAAAAAAAACGATAAGATTCAAAAAAAATATATATACATAAAAAAAATATTTACATGTGATGCCATCCAATTAAAGGCAATATATATATATATATATATATGACAAAAAAAAAGAAAAAAATATAAACAAAAAAAAAACAAAACAAACAAACAAAAAAAAATAGTAAAATAAAATAAATAAATAATAAAAAAAATCAATAAATTAGGAAATTTCTGGTCACTTGGCATCAAGCACAAATGAATAAACGGAAAGTTTTTTTCAATTTGGCACACAAACACACAAAAAAAGAAAAAACAACAGCAACAACAACAACAACAACAAAAAAAAAAACAGAAATGAAACAAATATTATGGTCCATTTAGCTCAAAGACAGTAATGAAAGTATAATAATAATAATAATAATAATAATAATAATAATAATAATTAGTAATAATAATAATAATAACAGCGAACAAGATGAACAGAAATAAATAAAAAAATAATAAGAATATTCAATAATAATAAACTGTAAAAACTCCACAAATTTACCTAAAATTCGCTTTCTCTCCAAGAAAAACAATAAAAAAGATCACCAGAAATAAAATGTAGGCAATAGAGACAGATCGCAAAAAGTAAAACATATGGAATATGAGTGGAATTAAATTCATGCAAATATGAATTCCAATTTATTATCTCCTTCCCAAGAAAAGTGGCAATTAGTTAAATATCTTAATTTAAAAATCATACTCTTTTCTTCACCGATATCTCTTCGGGTACAAGACTTATATATATATGTATCGAGGGATGGGAACAAAAAAATAAAAAGCGGATTAATCAAGAAAGCATTTCCTTTTTTTTTTCCTTTTTCCTTATTATTTTTTTTTTAGGGAGGATCATAAAAGTCAGCCTGGCTAAAGAATAAAAATATACCACTTTGTAAATTGAATTTGAATATGAACCAAAAAGATGCCACACGTTAGGAATCTACGATGTCCTCATTCTATCTAAATATTGAAATATATGCCTTTATGTAGCCTAAGTAAAAAAGTAAAAAATAAATAAAAAAAAGCAGAATAATAATCATATACATATATAAATAGATTAATAATAATAATAATAATAACAATAATAATAATAATAATAATAATAATAAACAATCAAGACAACGAACAAAAAATAACAATAAAAAAGCATGTGTTAAATAAATAAAAAGCACCAGTATTAATCATTTTCCAGGTCCCAGAGATATTAAAAGACAATCGACACCAGGTTGCAAACCGCTAAAGCAATGTATCGATAATGCACCTTATCATCGCCCGTGTATCCCCGGAGTAGCCCTTTCCTTCCCCAACAAAAGAAAACATCGCCAGACTAAACACCGTTAATACCTTTGTTCTCTTTATATACCAGCCGTAATTGAGCAATCCTCCCCCCACTTGAGGGCCACCAGAAAGGGGAATTGAAGAAGAAAAACCACGCCAAAATCGTTCTTCATCTGTTTCTTGCTGATGCCTTTCATGACCCTTCTTATCCACATCTCGATGAACTGTTGGATAATATAGACGAGATTGAAGAAGTAAATTCCCCGAAGCAATAACAGCCCCAAGATTTTCCATGCGTTCAGCGTAATAGCAGATGTTATCCACAAACTCACTCAAATTTTTTACGGCAAATGGTACATTAGCGGGTTTCAATTCCAATGCTACTGCTTCTGGCCAGTACTCAACATAAGGCAACAAAGCTTCAATCTTCGTCGATATTGCTTCCTCAACCACATTCTTCACTCCGGGGAGTTTGTATTGCCCTACTTGATATGAACCACTATTTTTGGCGACATAATCAAGAATAGTATTTTTATTAAAACTTTCTTCTAGTCGTACATGTGCTGCTTTATTCGTATTTTCCACAATATGCTCAACTAAAGCGATGGGAAAACCCCTCGGAAAAAGTTGAGCAAAATCCACATCTGCTATAATTTTATTATCTTTGTATTCATTTTTTTCTTGAAGTGCACCAAGTGCGGTATGAAATAAGGATGCATTTGCAAACCCGTAATTCGGGACCAATTCAGAGGCTTTTTCCAAAAGTTCTTTTCTAACAGCAACTAGGAATGAGGCTTTCATGGGAAACTTTTCTAGCCCTTGTTTTTATCCTTATTTAAAAAAAACATAAAAAAGAAGAAAGAATTCTAAAGGCACGCGCGCACAAAAACCCAAGGCACAAAACAACAACAAGAACAGCAAAAAAAACAAAAAACAAAAAAAAACGACGCCACTCCCCCGGACCCCGCGCCACGCACAAAACACACCCTAGCAGCCGCATGCTCGCCCGCGCCGACCGCACGGGCTCGGTGACTCCCCGGTTGGCGGCGGAAGGCGCGGGGCTCCGGGTTCGACGGGGGAAAAGGGGTCTCGCCTTGTTTCTGCCTGCTTTTCGTTTTGCTGTGCCGCGTCTCTCCTTTTTAAAAATATTGATGAAGGTGGTGTTAATAATGGCGGTAATGATATATACATATATATGATTTTTTTTGAGCATGCTTGCGTTTTTTGTGTTTATTTTTATGGTCGCTTTTTAATATATTTGTTTTGCGATTTTTTTCTAATAGTTTTGGTTTATTATCTTAGAAACCATCTATTTTTGGGAGCCACAAGAGAAATCGCCGCGATAAAAAGAGTTATTTAAAGTTTTTTAGAGGCCATGGAAGTCGGAGATCAGACAGAACGCCACGATGCTTCTACTGATACTATAATTGAAGAATTAAAAACCCTTGCAAAGTACATGTTGGAGGCAACTGAAGCCGCTCGACAAAGAACACTTAGTGTTGAGGGCTATAAGTCTTATGAGGCTCTTTTGGGTGCTCTTGAATCGTCAGCACCAGGAACAAATTGCATAAAGGAATCGACGGTTCCTCAATATCATTGTGATCCTGTTAATGAGATCTCATTTTCAGGAGGCGATGAATTAAGGAAAAAAACTCATAATCTGCCACTTTTATTGAATTTTGCTGAAAAATCGAAGAAGGGGACAAGGTGTTTAAAGCAAGACATCTACAACGGTGAGTTAGATAATGAAGAGAGTTCCCCTTCAGAAAAATATGAAGATGATGTTGGTTATTCTGCTGAAGATATCCCTCGTTTGAATCAAAATAAAATTTCATCAAACACACGTTTGGCAAACTTTGATTGTTCTGGAGATTCTGAAGAAAACATTTATGATGGTGTGAAAACACAAGTTATATTTAAGGCGGTTGATCCGACGCTATATCAAGAGATAAGTGGTTGTACTTGGCTTCCCGAACCATTATGTATTCGTCTTGATACGGGGGAAACGATTGAAGATGACAGTGAAGAAGAAACTGCGGACATTGATGATGGGGAAGATGATACAAAATGCAAAAAGAAAAGAGTTTTTCGGGTTCCATCATTTCCTTTCGGTGGCGGTGTGACCGAAGGACAAGCACAGTTACTAAGCAAAATGTTTAGCGATGCAATGCGTCGTGGTGGGTTATCCAATTCAATTGGACCAAAGTATATTACGAAAAAGGAGTTTATAAACTATGAATATGAAGAATGTTCTACAACAGAGAAGTCTCGTGACTCTTTTGTCCCAAAATCACCTTTTGAGTTTGTGGTAGAGCTGGAGCGAGAAGTTGTTTTTGACGCTGTTCAAGCACGTGAAGAGCGACGTCGCGAATTTCGACGTCTGGCTGGGGAAGGGAGGGCTCCTGTAACCATGGGTTCATTTAATCTTCGTGTGATAATGGATCCTCTAAAAACTGGGTTTGAGGAAGAAAAAACATTTCCCATTGAACGTGGTACAATTATCGCAGATCGTTATCAAATTATAGAGTTGTTGGGAAAGGCAACATTTAGTCGAGCTGTTCGCTGCTACGATTTGCATCAACCGTTCTACGAGGATGATGATGATGAAAATGAACCTGAAACTGAGTGCATTCCTAATGATGATACTGAGGAAAATAAATTCACTGATGGAAAAAAAAGACAGAGAGTCGCCGGTTACGCTGAGGTATGTCTTAAAATTATCAATAACTCGAAAGATTTTTTTGATCAGTCACTGGATGAAATTCGTTTGTTGACTCTTATTAATAAATACAAAGATCCTGATAAGGTCCATGTAATTCGTCTTATTGACTGTTTTTATTATAAAGAGCACACGATGTTGGTAACAGAGTTACTTTCAGATAACCTTTATGAATATTCCAAATACAACCGTGAAGAAGAGGAAACATTTTACTTTACCATTCCGCGTCTTCGTCGTATCGCTCGCCAAATTGTTGAGGCACTAACTTACGTTCATAGCCTCAATCTTATTCACGCCGATTTGAAGCCAGAAAATGTATTGTTTGTCTCTCATCGTCGTTGCGTCGTAAAAGTGATTGACTTTGGTAGCAGCTGTTTTTTGAGTGATCACCTCAGCTCCTATATTCAGAGCCGCAGTTATCGCGCTCCTGAAGTAATTTTTGGTTGTGACTACGATGGACGTATCGATGTTTGGTCCCTTGGCGCAATTTTGGCTGAACTTGTTACGGGTGAAGTACTTTTTACTTCTGAGACGGTTCCTGAAATGCTTGCTCGTATTGTTTACGTTTGTGGACAACCCTTCCCACGAAGAATGTTATGGGAGGGTCGACATACCGCCAAGTTTATAAATAAGTTTGGCTGTATTTATGAACAAGGTAATAAAGATGGTGAGGACTCCGCAGAAGATTCATCATATTATTACTTATATACTCCAGTCTTTCAACCAAGGGAATCCCAAAGTGTGGATGAGCAGGATATAGAGAAAAAAAGAGATGACATTGCTGATTTGGGAGATACCAGGGGATCACTTCTCAATGAAGGTCCTTATAGTGTTCTTCGACAAAAGCTTGCGGCTCATAACGTCACTGATGAGTCTTTTATTTCATTTGTAGAGGCCTGTCTGACTCTTGATCACAAGAAGCGTCCAAGAAGCAAGGATCTTCTTTCTCATCCTTTTCTCACACAGTCCGATTGATATATATGCCCAATGAAATTCCGAGAAATAGGTTTATGCACGCACGAAAATGTAATTGACTGTTAGGAAACAAATATAGAAATATAAAAAGAGAGATAAGCGAATGCAAGTGATTTTATGACGTTTTGTTTGTTATATTCGGAGTTATTATTATTATTATTATTATTAATATTATTTTTAATATTATTATTATTATTATTGTTATTTTATTATTATTATTATTATTATTACTATTAATAATATTATATAATATTATCACTATTATTTTATTATTATTACTATTGCTATTATTATTGTTATCAATATTATTACTGTATTATTATTATTTTATTATTATTACTGTTATTGCTATTAATGTTAATGTTACTATATGTTATTGTTATCATATGTATCTATGTATTTCGAGGCAAAAAAAAAAAAAAAAAAAAACGTAGGAGAAAGACCAAAAGATTCCATTTTTCTCTATAGCTTCTGTTGTTTGGATTCTCGCCGTTTTTTTTTTTTTTTTTTTGAGAGACATATTGTATATATATATATATATATATATTCGGTGCTTTTGTTTGCGCCGGCCTTTTTTTTTATTTTTTTTATTATCATTTAAAGAATTGTATATGGATTTCAGTGTGAAAGAAAAATAAGAGAAAGTTCTTTATCTTGGGTATTGAGATTGAAAGATGAGAGGGAAAATAAATTATTTTTGTTGCCATTGTAAATTTTTTAAATGATTGCCTAAAATCAGCTTTTTAATTCCTTTTTAAGAAATAGAATTATCACTGCTATAATGGTACTGCCCGAAGGAAATGGTGAATCTTCATATGAGCAATAAAAGATACCCCAACAACGAAAATGAGTAATAATGGCATATTAATAATAATATTAACATTAATAATAACAGTAATAATAATAATAGTGATAATGATAATAATAACAATAAAAAAGTAATAATTATAATAGTGATAACAATAATAATAGCGATAATAGTATTATTAATAATTGTAATAATAATAATAGTAATACTAATAGTAATATTATTAATAATAGTAATAATATTATTAAAAGTAATAATGATAGCAATAATAATTAAACAGCTGTCGACGAAGAAATTACTCCCTATTGCTTCCATCTCCTTTTTTTTTCTACTTTTTAATTTTTTCTTAGAAAAATAAAATAAACCGAAAGGTCACTGCTCGCATACAAACACAAACGCACAAAAATACAAAGGCTGAGATTGCCTTGTGCGAATTCTTGGTAAGAAGGAAATCAATTCCTCATTTTGATCTTAGGTTTAGTATGCGGTTACAGTTCAAAAACATTTTTTTTGTTTGTATGTGTTACCGGCTTTTGATTTTCGCTCTTTTTTTTTCCGTCTGCGTGACAATTACCGCTAAAAGTGTCTCTAAAGATGGCTCACGTGATCGTCGTAGTCCATACAAGAGCGATGATGAAGGCGTCGAAGTTACCGCAATGCAAAAATTTGCTGGGCATATTCCTTGGATTGAATGGAGACAATTGATTCGTATTGTTACTGCGGCCCGATGCACTTTGTTATCGACTCTTGCAGCTCCTTCAGCTTCGGGATCGACAGATTTGCCTGGAACGGGCGGAGATAAAAAAATGCATTCCTTAGCAGCGGCCCATTCAGAATCTTCGAATGAGATATGCCTTAGGCCCATTATGTTGCTGTTTCATCAACATGAATGTCTTGCGTGTCATGCGTTGTTAAAGAATGTGGGAATTAGCGCGGAATTTGAGCTCTTGAGTGAGTACATGACCATGGTAGTTGCTGAGTCTTTGGAGGACATAACCGAAAAATATCCATATCCTTTGCCACACTTTCACAATGACTCTTTGTTTGTTAATAGGGGTCGTAGGAAAGGGAAATTGAGAAGAGAAGAAGCGGAGGCTCTGCGAGAGGCGTTTGCGGGACAAGGTGAATACTTTCCTCGTGTTTTCTTTGTATTTCCACAAAATGGTAGTGTGATGCCAATATTTAACGAAGAGGGGGATTCTGATCCGGCACATCCACACTTTTACCATGAAGCCACCTCATTAGTGCGCAGCATGATGGTTGCCTTGTGGACTATGAACAAGGCTGTGAGCTTTTCAGAGCTTTGATAGCTTTTCTTATTATTATATTGGATCCTAAAAAAAAAAAAAAAAAAAAAAAAAAAAAACTTTTTTTTCTTTTTCTTTTTTTATATTGGCTTTTTTTATAAGCCTGAAATGCGTTTTTATTGTTCTTTTACTTCAAAATATAAACGCTTTTCTTATTGGCCTCATTCTGTGTTGAATAATAAAGAGAAATATCAATAAATAATTATTTTATTGCTAAATTCGTGTCTAACACAGGTCTGTCGAACTTGGGGTTGAAAAAGGCATACAAAATTTACGGAGGGGTTGTGCGGGAGAATATTTTCCTTTCTCGAAACTAAAAAGAAACGTGCACACACGGTAGAAAGGCGGATATTTGAAAATGTCACCCCCAGATCTTACACCAATTACCGAAACCCCTTCTTTTGTAAATGAAGGCGAGGAAATGAATCTCGAAGTGTTTTTACGCTACTTTGTCGCGGATGTTCTCCCATACGCAGTGGTCCTTGGGTCAGTTTTACTGAAGTTTCCACAAATATTGAAAATCCTTCAACACCGGAGCGCGGATGGCATTTCCCTTGCTTCTGTCTATTTTGAGATGACGGCCTATGTTATTACCACTAGCTGGGGAATTGCCCAAGCGCTAAACTTCAAAGATTATGGAGAGAATATGCTCATTATGGGAGAAGTGGCTTTTTTGCTACTTTTGGTGGGCTACTTACAACGTAGTATGTCTTGTGCATTGTTGGTATTTATTTTTGAGGCAGTGGCACTTGTTGTCATGTCAAGTGGATTTCTTCCCCGCATTTTCCATGAATGGCTTTTGGGTTTACAAATTTTTTTGGGTATGAGCAGTCGTGTGCCTCAGATTATAATGAATTATCGAAATCAGTCGACAGGACACGTGTCTTTTTTGACATATTACTTAGCCATGGTAGGTGGCATTGCCCGACTGCTAACGACTTTTCATAATGTTTCTGTTGAAAAGGGCAAATATGTCATGCTGATGCAGTTTGGAGTTGCAGTGGGACTAAACGCAACTATTCTTTTGCAGATTTTGGCCTACAGGGAACTTACGCGGAAAAAATTAGACCAACAAAACCTGGAAAAGACGCTGGAGAAAGATAAGAAAAGAGAGTAGTTTTTGGAAAAACTGTGTTATTCACCTGGATCGAATAACTTGTGAAGAATGCACTAATGCTTGCTCTGTGCAGGCCTGCGCTCTGCTCCGCCACCACCATCATCTCTTTGGAGTTTCGAGGACTGCCTCTTTCTTTGTTGGATTAACAAAAAAGAGAATGAGATCAAAATGGGGACGTAAAACAACAACACAAAACCCTTGGATGAAACATTTGTATAAATAAAAGATAAAAGCAAAAAGCTGGGCAAAATGAGTCGGCATCTTATCTTCAAATGAACGCCAAAACGAATTTCCTTGTTTGGAACCATTAAAATTGTGTTATAACATTTGATTGGGGTCTTTTACGGGGAATATTTTTATCCTTCTCCCTGTGTTTGTTTCTAGACGTCTAGTTTTAATGCGTGCGTTTAACGATTGGAGGATAAACGCACCGTAGGTGAACCCCCTCAAAAACATACTTTTTGTTGTTAATAAGGTAGAGCTGGAATTCGAAGGGAATAGCTGCAGTTGGCAAAAAACGAAAAGAAGTACAGGTAGCACTCTCAAATATCAGTGTATGTATACTTTATGGCAGGGCGTCCTATACCACCTTCGGGGCTTGTAAAAGCGGTGGCTGGTGTCACACAGGCCAGTAGAGGAGATACCAAGAAGGCATATTGGACCATATCAACTACTGAGGTCCTGTGCACAAGAATGCACTCGTGGCAGTCAACGTTTGATTGCTATGAGTTTCTTCGCAAAAGACATCTTCCTATCGCTGATGAAGCCGTGATGTCGCTTTTGCTTCGTTTGCAGATCGCGCTTAAGGGACATGGCGCCAGTGCTTCCACTGTCTTGGAGGTGTTGAACTTTTCTTCTTCTTTTGAAGTTGAATCGAGAGGGCGAAGACACGGTGAAAAAGGTTCAAATTTTATTTTTAAATCAATAAATACTGACGATGTGTCGCACAGTCCACCGTCTCCCTTGGCGTTTCTTCTTCACAGCACTCAGTACCAACCCACTCTTCGCCCATTGTATCATAGACTTCGATACATTGTGCGAAACATGGCTCATTCCGCGGGGGAATCTTCAGTAGTTGTGGGAAATGATCATCATGGGTCAAACTCTGTGCGGTGTTATCAGGCCCTGTTTTCAGATTTGTTACCTATTCTTTTGGCTCCTTGTGTTGTTGTTAACCTTTCATTGTGGCATAATCTTCGAAAAAGGCGTTGGGAGGATGCATTGAGAACAATTCATAACCTGCATTTTTACTCTCTTTTGAAGCCGTACACGCGAGAGCTTCAAAAGGTACGATTAAAAAGTGATACGAAGTCTATACTGGATGCGGTTAGCCATGATGTTTGTTACAAGGCATGTATCGATCCACCTTCTCTGGTCCCCTTAATGGATGAACTACTACTTCGATGGGAATCATACTGGGACGCATTGAAAGGAAAAACCGAGGCACAACGCGTTTTTTCAGGTGTTCTTCGTTCATCGTCTTCATTCCACTGCGCTGCGGCATTTTTGGATAACGAAGTAACGGTGAGTTTCACGTTGGAAGATGACAAAAATTCCATGGAACAAACATTGAAGGAGAAAGCTAGCGGCCCACTTGCTATTTTATCAGAATTAGAGAAGAGTAGTTTGGATGTGTTACGCTTTGCCGCTCTAATTTCTTTCTACAGGGAGTGTAAGGAAGATGACGAAATACAGGAGGAGCTTGAGATATTTCATCGCCTCATGGAAGCAACGACACGAATAGCGGATTTTTCCGTTTGCCGACGCGTGGCACTAGAGTGGGCAAACGCATATGAAGGTGGGGTACCGCCAAGCGAGAGGTGTCGTGTGTTGCCATCCATTTCCACTGAACAGCTAGTTCTCACACGTCTTATACTACGAGCACCTTCCTGCGAGATTGTTCTGCAGGTTTTGGACGAGTGGCCATTCATTTTGTGTGATCATAGTTGTGCTTTAGAAGGAAGGGAAAGGAAAATCTTATTCCGTAAAAAAATACCAACAACGATGCGATGCCGAGAGGTTATCTTTGCGTTGGCCACACGCTTGTCGCCATTAACCTTCCTTGAGGAAATTGTGAACAAGCGTTTGTCAGCGTCGAGTGAAGTACTAGAGAAATGTGTGCGCGAGGTGGTTAGGGACTCTCTTCTTCGAGGAAGTCTCCACGATGCGGCAGAGAACTTCTGGATGTGTCAAGCTCATCTTGAACTCGCTACGCTATGTGGCATGGGAGGTCCATCGCATTCGGATGACGAATTGGCATTACTTCTCAGAGAATATTTATCCCAACGGCTTTCGGTTCGCGAAAAAAGGAACTTTATTTCTGGCCTTTTCCGCCGTGTGGGCGAGGGAAATTACAGGGTCTTTATTAATGCAGTATGCATTCTGGATGAAGAGGAAGTGGACGGTTTTAGAAGAGCTCCTACCAAAAATACATGCGCTCTCTCTCTGCTTTTACAGGTAATGGTTAGTTGGGTTAAAGATGATCAGCAGCTCGGAGATGCGGCAGTGTTGCTCCGCCACATTGTTTGTGCACTCGAAGAGAAAAATTTAGAGTCCTTTGAACATGAACTGGACAAGCCTGAACAGCGTATTCATTCATCTCTGCATTTTGGATGGACATCAGAAGAGGTGATGACTTTATTTTTTGAGGCGGTAGCCTGCTTTGGATTTCTTACGAACGACAAGGCGGCACGCGAAGGGACAGAAGCGGACACCGCATTGCAGTGGCTGCGTCTGCTCTCAGAAATACCTCCTTCTCTCTCTGATGAACAGACACTTGTTGTGTGGCTCTTTTGGACGATGCGGGCGCTTGTACAGTGGGAGGAATCCTTAAATTCCTCTTTTACTTCTTCAACCGTTGCAGAGGCGATCACGGAAAGCGTCCTTGCGGCGGTTCGCAATCTCAGCCTATCACTGGAGAAATGTGGGGAGGACGCAGTGCTTCCACCAATGTTATTAAACTGGCTTGCTTCATACACAGGGATGCCATGGGGCGACGCAACCGCCTGGATTGCCAAACATGCAGGAGTAGAAGCCTCGCAAAGACGGCGCTTCCTATTTATCCGTTTGCCCTTTGGCCACGCTACGTTTGATTCTTCCACCGATGCACCGTCACGAAAAAGGCTCCTTTCGAGCATAGAATGGGAACTGCAGAAGGAAACGATCCACAGGTGTGGTGGTCTTGGGCAGGATACCCCACATGGAGACGATAAACTGGAGATGAAACTACAAGGGCTGTTTAAAACTATCCGAGTCACACTTCTTCGTGCCTGGCAATCTCGTGCTTTCTCTGTCTGCAGTTCTGGGGAAATGAACCCAAATATGACAGATGCCTTTTTTCCTGTTGCTCCTCGCGTGCCAGTTTATAAGAGAAAAGGCTTTCTCCGCAACCGGTCTCGGGCACACGACGAAATTGCTCTGTTTTCATTTCAGGAGTTAGTTGGCTGCTTGTTGGAGGAGACATCGCTGAAACAGGACAAGGCAACGAATAAAGAGACGTAGTTTTTTTTCACACACGCAATTACAGACGCGCAGGAAAAAGTGAGTGTTTGTTGTTATTTTTGACTATCACACGCTCTCTTTTGATTCGCACCTTGCGCTGGGATCTTGTGAATGGAAAATCTTTAATTCTGCCACTTTGTATGTAATAAGTGTATTCAATCCCAAAAGAGTGCAGCGTGTCGTGACAGAGACTATCGGAACACATAAAATCGGAGCAAACATCGAGGCAGCGGCTTCGCCACAACCTCTACCACTTTTTTCTCCGTTTTATTTTTTTCATATGGACAAATTCGGAATCCGGTCAGCGGCTCGGATGAATATCCTGTACCTTATCTCTGTTCTTTCAGAGAAAATGGGGTATGTATCATCCACTTTATCAATCTTAACAATGATTTTACCTGTGAATTATTGGAGTGCTTTCTTGTACACCTTCGTGAAGATTTAACTGGTTTCTGGAGTCTCTATCTCTCTATTTCTCTCTCTATTTCTTTCTCTATGAGTATACAAATAAAGAAATTTCCCATTGCACTTGAATTTTTAGCCAAGGTAGTAAGTTTTTTTTTTTTTTTTTTAAGGCTAGCTTAAGCGCGTAATGGTGACTTTGCAAGAAGCGAAAGAAAGCGTAAAAGTCTCTGTGCGGGTGAGGCCATTGAACGCTCGTGAGGGCGGGGGTAGTAGTGAAGTTGTGGTAAGAGCTTCTCAACGGGACAGCCAGGTGAAGCTCAAGGCGGTCAATGCGACCAAGGAACAAAAGAACTCTACAACCACATTTCAGTTTGACCATGTCTTCTGGTCGCTTGACAGCCCCGACGAGAGCGGCGGCGAGCCTGTCGGTCAGGCCGAGGTGTACGCCACGATTGGGCGGCCGCTGGTGGCACACGCGTTCAACGGGTTCAACTCGTGCCTGTTTGCGTACGGGCAGACTGGGAGCGGCAAGACGTACACGATGATGGGCGCTGACCCGAACGCGGTTGGCGGAGCTGACGCTGGCGTGACGCCGCGGTTGTGCCTGGAGCTGTTCCAAATGCGCGAGCGCATCGAGGCGGAGGGCCACTCGAAGTGGTCGGTGGAGGTGGGGTACATCGAGGTGTACAACGAGCGTGTGTCGGATCTGCTGGCGAAGCGGAAGAAGGGCTCGAAGGAGGAGGTGTTTGTGGATGTGCGCGAGCACCCGACGCGTGGCGTGTTCATCGAGGGGCAGGAGCTGCGCGAGGTGTCGAGTCTGGACGAGGTCCTGGGGCTCATCGAGGCCGGCAACCGCGTGCGCCACACCGCCGCGACGAAGATGAACGACCGCAGCAGCCGCAGTCACGCGATCTTCATGCTGCTGCTGCGCGAGGAGAGGTCGATGCAGGCGGCGACTGGGCAGACAATCACGACGGCCGGCAAGAACAGCCGGATGAACCTTGTGGACCTGGCGGGGTCGGAGCGTGTCGCGCAGTCCGAGGTTGTTGGGCAGCAGTTCAGCGAGGCGCGGCACATCAACCTTTCGCTGACGACGCTCGGGCGCGTAATTGACATGCTGGCCGACATGACAAAGAACAAGGATAGCCAGTGGTCGATGCCGCCGTACCGCGAGTCGAAACTGACGTTTCTCCTGAAGGACTCGCTTGGCGGCAACTCGAAGACGTTCATGATTGCGACGGTGAGCCCGAGTGCGATGAACTACGAGGAGACGCTGAGCACGCTGCGCTACGCGTCTCGTGCACGTGACATTGTGAATGTGACGAAGGTGAATGAGGACCCGCGTGCACGTCGCATCCGTGAGCTGGAGGAGCAGATGGAGCAGATGCGCAAGGACATTCAGGGCAAGGATCCTGCATACGTTGCCGAACTGGAGGAGAAGCTCAGGCTGCTGGAGGCGGAGGCTCAGAAGCGCGCTGCCGACCTGCAGGCACTGGAGCGAGAGCGGGAGAAGAACGAGATACATGAGAAGATGCTGCGCGCGACGGAGGCTGAGCGACAGGAGCTGCTGAGCAGGGCTGGCGCTTTGGAGCGGCAGGTGGAGGAGTCGCGGCGGCAGGCGGAGTACCACGAGCGAGCGAACCAGAGGCTGAAGGAGGAGCATGCACAGCGCGAGCGGGAGTTGCTTGAGCAAATGCGGCGCCGCGAGGATGAAATGGAGCGTATTCGGAGGCGGAAGGAAGCGGAGGTGATGAGCGGGCAGGAGCAGTTGCGGAAAACCATGGAGGATCTGGAGCGCGAGCGGCGCGATCGCGAGGAGGCGTTGCGTGTGTTGGGCGTGTGGAAGGAAGAGCTGAATGCCGCGCTGAGCGACTCGCGGCAGTCGCAGGAGCAGCGTGCGGAGCTAGAGCGTCAGAACGCACAGCTTGCTGATCGCATGCGCCAACTTGAGTCGGAGCGTGAGGCGCAGCAACGGCTCTTGCACGAGCTGGAGCTGCTGCGGGACGAGCACGAGAGTCTACAGAGGGCTGTGGTGCTGCTGCGCACCGAGGTGGAGGAGATGGACCAGCGCCATGACAGGACAACGTACCACCTGCTCGCTGTGATGGAACTGCACGCCGAATGTTACGAAGCGGTTGTAGCCCGCCTTGGGGTGGAGCACGAGCATCAGTTGAACCAAAACGCGCAGTGGGATGCCGACGAGCGCGCTGCGCTGGAACGGCGTAATGAGGAGGGTTTAGCGGAGCGAGACAGCGCGCTCTCGGCGCTTCAGGAGGCTCTGGCTGAATGCCAGCGGCGTCTGGATGAATCAGAGACTGCGGAGGAAAAGCTGCGAGTAGCGTATGAAGCACTTGAGAAGGAAAAGGGCGGAATTCATGAAAACATGAGGTTGCTACAGCAGGCGAAGACGGAGGTGGAGCAGAGCCTGGAGGCAATGGCGTCGGAGCGCGATGAGCTGCGGGAGCACCTTGCCGCCACGAGCGATGATCTGGGTAGGCAGCTGCGTGCTGTGGAGCAGGCGAAGACGGAGGTGGAGCAGAGCCTGGAGGCAATGGCGTCGGAGCGCGATGAGCTGCGGGAGCACCTTGCCGCCACGAGCGATGATCTGGGTAGGCAGCTGCGTGCTGTGGAGCAGGCGAAGACGGAGGTGGAGCAGAGCCTGAAGGCAATGACGTCGGAGCGCGATGAGCTGCGGGAGCACCTTGCCGCCACGAGCGATGATCTGGGTAGGCAGCTGCGTGCTGTGGAGCAGGCGAAGACGGAGGTGGAGCAGAGCCTGGAGGCAATGACGTCGGAGCGCGATGAGCTGCAGCAGTGCCTTGCCGCCACGAGCGATGATCTGGGTAGGCAGCTGCGTGCTGTGGAGCAGGCGAAGACGGAGGTGGAGCAGAGCCTGGAGGCAATAACGTCGGAGCGCGATGAGCTGCGGGAGCACCTTGCCGCCACGAGCGATGATCTGGGTAGGCAGCTGCGTGCTGTGGAGCAGGCGAAGACGGAGGTGGAGCAGAGCCTGGAGGCGATGACGTCGGAGCGCGATGAGCTGCGGGAGCACCTTGCCGCCACGAGCGATGATCTGGGTAGGCAGCTGCGTGCTGTGGAGCAGGCGAAGACGGAGGTGGAGCAGAGCCTGGAAGGCAATGACGTCGGAGCGCGATGAGCTGCGGGAGCACCTTGCCGCCACGAGCGATGATCTGGGTAGGCAGCTGCGTGCTGTGGAGCAGGCGAAGACGGAGGTGGAGCAGAGCCTGGAGGCGATGACGTCGGAGCGCGATGAGCTGCAGGAGCACCTTGCCGCCACGAGCGATGATCTGGGTAGGCAGCTGCGTGCTGTGGAGCAGGCGAAGACGGAGGTGGAGCAGAGCCTGGAGGCGATGACGTCGGAGCGCGATGAGCTGCGGGAGCGCCTTGCCGCCACGAGCGATGATCTGGGTAGGCAGCTGCGTGCTGTGGAGCAGGCGAAGACGGAGGTGGAGCAGAGCCTGGAGGCAATGACGTCGGAGCGCGATGAGCTGCAGCAGTGCCTTGCCGCCACGAGCGATGATCTGGGTAGGCAGCTGCGTGCTGTGGAGCAGGCGAAGACGGAGGTGGAGCAGAGCCTGGAGGCAATGACGTCGGAGCGCGATGAGCTGCAGCAGTGCCTTGCCGCCACGAGCGATGATCTGGGTAGGCAGCTGCGTGCTGTGGAGCAGGCGAAGACGGAGGTGGAGCAGAGCCTGGAGGCAATGACGTCGGAGCGCGATGAGCTGCGGGAGCACCTTGCCGCCACGAGCGATGATCTGGGTAGGCAGCTGCGTGCTGTGGAGCAGGCGAAGACGGAGGTGGAGCAGAGCCTGGAGGCAATGGCGTCGGAGCGCGATGAGCTGCGGGAGCACCTTGCCGCCACGAGCGATGATCTGGGTAGGCAGCTGCGTGCTGTGGAGCAGGCGAAGACGGAGGTGGAGCAG